TACAATCGGAGATCAGGGCTTCTGGAGGTTTTAGCATTTGCAGGGGTCTACATCCACAGCAGACAAAGCAAATAGCATGATAAGGAGATGGACCAGGGTCATAAGTAATCACAAAACAGCATCTTGAAGGATTATGAGGAACCTCTCCAATGCAATAAGCAGAATTTGTGTGCATGCCATGTTATCGTTTTATTAAAGTTTTCCAGATATACAGCTAGAGAAAAGTGTTTGAGGGACAGTCTGGATCACATCATGGCAATTAATCCAGTATATAGGCTATTACAGTTCTGTTGGCCAGGCTGATTTAAGGACAGATTTATTTGTGTGAAAGGCCATGAAAGATGTAGGCCCTTACTCTTGTCAAGGGATGGAGTATTATTGGATCATCCTTAGAAAGCCAGTAGGTCCAACAAGATGGGGTAGGTAGAGCGTATTTGAAGTGTAAGGCCTGGTTCACACCTAGGCGTATTGCATATGCGCGTCAGTCGCGCGGTTGTCTTACCGCGATTCGCGGTAAAAAAAATCGAGCAACAAACGCGCGTTTCCGAGGGCTACTTGGCTGTATCCCAATGGAAACGTGCAACAAAAACAGCCCAAAGTAGTACATGTACCTTTTCAGGCGTGGGCCGTTTTGTAGCGCGTTATGGACGGGCTGAAATACGCCAATGTGTGAACCAGAGCCATTGAATACAATGGGATTTAGATGTTTGAGCGTTTTGTAGAGCGTTCATCGAGCGTAGAACGCGCTACAAAACATTCAGGTGTGAACGAGGCCTAAAGACAGATACGAAAGAAAAGAGGGCAAGATTGATGATCCCTGCCAAGTAAAAATGCAGTTGGTCATTGTTTGAATATGACTGTTACTGGAGGAGACTACCCAGATACTTCATGTGGCCATGTAGTAAGAGTATCTGTTGTGGAGAGATGCCATGGATTCCTCCATATGCTGCATTCGTCTAAACTGTTGGATCCATTCTGATATGGTGGTAGCTCGAGGATTTCCAGTGACCAGGGATCACAGCTCGTGCTGCCTGCAAGAAGAATCTGCGTTTACTTTCGCTAGCTTTAGAGATCTACCTAGGGATCAAGGAAAGGAGAGCAACTTCAGGAGATTTGGGGATATCGGCACCTAACTATTAAATATTTTGGTCCAGTGGTTTGGAAGGCAGTGCCACCATATCTGGAGCGTAGTTCCTTTTGTGTTACATCTTCAACAGCAATCAGATATGTTTGGAAAACTATTTAGAAAGAATATAGTGGCCATTAGGCACCATTTCTTTGATAACTGCGTTCTTCTGCCAATACTAGATTTACCGTGTTTCCCCGAAAATAAGACACTGTCTTATATATTTTTTGGCTCAAAAAAAACACACTAGGTCTTATTTTCAGGGTAGGTCTTATATTTTAGCAATTCCCAAAAATAGTACTAGGTCTTATTTTCGGGGTAGGTCTTATTTTCAGGGAAACGGTATTTGTGAGAGAGAAGATCATACCGAGATCATTGCTACTCATTTTAGGTCAACAGGTGGTATAGGATCTCGCCTATTACCAGTACATCTGGTCCAAGGAGAGACTGCATATATATCTGGCTGTGTGACAGGGCAAGCAGTGCTACTCTACGGCATAAATAACTACATCTTGCCCTATATACAGTGGCACCTCGGTTCATGAACGCTTCTGTCCGCATACAATTCGGTTCGGCAAAATTTTGCTTCAGTTCGCGAACTCCGCATCGGGTGACTAACACAACCGCAGCCATCTTCTATGCTCTGCAATGACACATTCGCAATATTTATAATGTCCAATGTAAGCTTAATCACATCTGATCGCTGTTCATTTTCACAGGAAACACAAAGCAAGCCTGTCTAGTTGCCTTGGTCTCTTAATTCTTGAATGGGATGACATGAAGTGAATAGTTGACTCTTCAGTAATAGCTAAAAGTTCATATCATTCGTAAAAATAATTCACCCCCCAATGTGGTTTAGTTTTTGTGAATTTAGGCGGTAAAATAACTTCTACTTCATTGTAAATCGACACTCTCCTATGGCAAAATAACCCTTCCATTAGGAAACCAATAAATTAAGAAGGTGACCAGATTAGGGCCCTTGCAAACAGTTTTAGAATTTGCTATGTGTACTTTGGGACTTCCAAAGCAGTCACAATCTAGAATTGTCTACAAACAGAGGGACAGGATGCGAAATGTGGACACCATCTACCTGGCAGTTAACAGTCCGCTTAATACATCTTTTTCGATGTTTGTTTGTAATCCCGTGTGACATTCTCATGGGTCTTCAACAGATCCTTCACTGGAGAGGAGATGGATTTAGGCGCACAATTAAGAAGTGGTGAGGGGAAGGTTTTATACTGTTGCGGGGTTACTTTGGAGCCAGCTTAATTTGTAGAATTCCCCCTCAGCTGCTCTAATCTTCCAACTCGTTTCCAGTTGCATGACAAATTTTAATAAATGTTCCTCAGTTACTTGGTCAGGATCAAGGTGCCAACAAGTCAAAATCTGTAGTTGGTCCAGGGGATGACTAAAAACGTATAGATGGTTCCTGTTTAAGACGCTTCCATATTTCCACAGCTCATTAAGTAACCTTTTCCGTATGCAGAGATTCAACTTTCTTTTTTTGTTTGTCCCCCAGCTGCAAAAATGTTTTTTGTATCCATTGTGACCTTAAAGTGACATCAGATTTTTTTAACATAAACCAATACTGTAATGTGTGCTTTACTGTAATCCATGGTAGTTTCCCTTCTCTTTGCTGCTCTTCCTTTTAAATCCTCATGTCTTCTCATGCTCGGGGAGAACTTCCTTTTGCAGCCGAGTGCCTCTTCCTGTAGTGCTGGCTCAGGTTGTGAACCTTCACACAGACACCGTGTATCCATTTCAGAGACAAGGCAGTCTGCTGAAAAACAGAAGTTCTGCCCAGCATGAGAACAGATACGGATTTAAAAGGAAGAGCAGCAAAGAGAAGGGAAACTACCCTGGATTACAGTAAGGCACACATTACAGTATTGTTTTATGTTAAAAAATCTGAGGGTTTAATGTCACTTTAAGTAGTTCTAAACAGAAGTGGCTGATGGTTAGCCAAAGCATTGTATATCGCAAACCATTCCCTTGTGGTTTTCTTTTTCTTGGAATACGGTTTCTACTGCCTTTTTTTTTTTTTCATCCAGCCCCTTCCTGTCTACGTGCATTTTCTCCGGCATTGGCTGCCTGTCATTGCTGGGGACTTGTTTCCTGCTACTGGCAATGTCTTCACATTGGGGGAATTTTATCAAAACTGGAGCAGCTGTCAATCTTCTAGCTTCACTGAACAAACTGAAGAGATAAGCTGATTGGTTTCTATGGGCTGCTGCTCCAGATTTTATATCCCCCCCCCCCCCCCCATGTATGTTGCCACCTAAGGTGTCAATGAAAACACAGGACACTATGGTCACCCCATAACAGGAAGTGCCTGAACAAAGACCTTAATGGTAGGATCAGTAGTTTATAGCAGAACTATACTCGCCTCTAAATGCAATATCCTTGAGCGTGCCGACTGCTTTGCCCTGTCATCTTCTGGGTTCAGGTTTTCAGTCATCATGATTGGCCTCCAGGGATGAGCGGAATTGTACACTGAACTTGTCATGTCATTGCCAGGAAGATCAGTGAATCTTGTTGGAGACTTCAACGTAAAAAATGTTCATGTTTTCCCCTACCAATAAATAATGGCAGAACATTTCCCCCCACTCTATAGAGTGATGATTTATAGGTTTTCTTTAGGACAGCAGCTGCAATAATGGTGCCTTAAAGCTCAATTGTACTCCCCAGTTTGATAGGTTGGGCAAAATGTGTGAGCGCTGACTTTGCCACCTTCACCAGACTTTCAGAATCATTATCACCAGTCCTATTAAATCAGAACTTTATGTAAATACAATGTAAATATGTGTACATTTCTGGCATGCATGAGTGCTGGGGCGGATAAACTCCTGTGCACATGTGCAGGAGTTATGCCCTCCTGGGCCACCAATCAAGATGGTGAACCCAGACGACGACTGGTGAAAATTGTCAGCAATGGTGAGGGAGTTTGAGGGCATCGCTGGAGGGAAGTATAGCAGACTTTTAGTTTGGCTTTCTTCAGAAGGATTTTATCACATTTATATAAGAAAGCAGACGTCTTCCTATTGTGTTTGTGCATTCTAAAGATGGAACGGAGGTCCAGTTACTAGCAAGTCATCAGACACATAGTTTTCAGTTTAAATTCTTTTTTGTTGTTCAGAGATTCAGTTTCATACCCCCTTGATTTGATTCCTTTTACCGTTCACATCGGTGCATTGTAGTAATGTATAAACTCCTCCCGTCTTAGTGGGCTGTTCAATATAATGGGTCATAGCTGTTTTTCCTGTGGTTAAGGTGCATTTAAAACTTTACTGTCTTAACGCACACAGCACATATTGTGGGGCCTTATATTAAATCTATGTCTGTAGGTAAAGTTCACACAAACACAACTTCCCTACAGAATGTGTCGGATAATGCTTGAACATAACTCTGGTACACACCGTATGTAAGCTCCAAGTCAGAGCCTTTGTGTGTACTCTCAGCATCCCACAATGAAATGCAGGTGCCAGAGTGGCCAAAAGATGTGCCTGTGGGAATGCTGGGGGGAGTCCTGATAAAGCTCCAGATATTAAACTTGAGACCACTCGTGTACAGATGCTCCTATTGCACACAGGAGAATCTTTGCATACAACTGGACGTGCAAGGATTTTTCAGTGCCTTATATTGGGGACTTAAAAGCTTTAAAGAAACGATCGCCCCCTCCTTGTCCTACTTGTCTTATGTAAAAAAAAATTATTGGTATTAATTGATGAACATGCTATTCCAATAACAGTGCTGATCAGCTCCAGCTTCTAGGTCATTTTGCTTCTCACCTTTCAGCACACTGTAGCCTGTTAACAAAAAAACGGTTCAGACTATTTGATCAATTTTCCCCTCATCGTCTTTTCTTTTCTTGCAGCTGAGCAAACAGAAGAACCTGAAAAGAAACCAGAACTGCCTGCTCCTGTTAAAAAGCGCCCACTGTCTCCGACTTCTTTGGCGATGAAGCCGATCTCTGCTCTGCCACGGATCCCCATGTTGAAGAAGCTCTCCATTGCACCAGTTCAAAGCAAGCATCCACCAAAACTGTCTCCCGGCTCTACCAGCAGCAGCAGGAGCAAAGTCCTTCTGCCTCTAAAACCGCAGCCCCGTCCCCATCCCCATCCCCTTCCCGCTCTCATTTCATCTGCTATTAGTAAACTTCCGAAGATACCCAAGAAGGTACAACCTCAATCTTCTGCATCTGAGCCAAAGGTGGTGTCATCTTCAAACTCTGTAAGCAAGAAGCCAGCAGCTGTGGTCTCTCCATCCCACTCTTCTTCCACGTCTGGACCTAGTTCGTCATCTTCATCGGTGTCGAATGCTCCACCTAAGCCGTCATCCAGCGCTCCTCGTCCCGGGCCCAATAATCAGATCAGGCAGAACATCCGCAGGTCATTGAAGGAGATCCTTGTCAAAAGGTGTGAGGAAACTTTCTGTAGATGCTTTAGTCTGCACCTAAAGGTCATTTGTGTAAACTGCACACCACATTCTGGTGTACGATCAGCTACTGCTGATACTACTTCTTAAAACTGCAAATATTCAAAAAGTTGCACCATTTTTGGTTCAACTTTGCACCCAAGTTGCACTAGATACTTCTACTATAGTCTGTAATTCTGGTGTAACTTTTTGAATATTTGCTGTTTTAAAAAGTTTTCAATAAAGAAGTATACTCTGTTTACTTTCAGGGAGGGGGACAGTTTGGTGATTTATGCCCCTCAACTCATTGACTTCCGCATGAATGTTGAGTGCTGTATGAGGTCTGGGCTGTTATCTCGAGTAACGGTAGTAGTTCGGGGACAAGCCACCATACCTGTAGCAGGACCTCCTGCCAAAGGTCCTATTCAGCACAGCTGATCTTAAATAAGGTCTTGGATGAATAGGGCTCTCTAGCCAAGGCAACCTTAACTATCAGAACTTGAACATCTCTCCCTCTTAAGCTGGCCATACACTTGTATATTATCTGCAGATTTCTATAGTCAGATGGAAAAAGTGCAACAGATTCCATCTACGCTAAACTGTGTATTGAGAAGTCTCCCACTTCGCCAAGCTTTCAGTATCTTGCTAGGTGGCCCCCTGGCTGTCAATCTAAGGCTGGCCAGACACCTATAGATCTGCAGATTTTCTATGGTCAGGTGGGAAAAGGGCAACAGATTCCTCCATCTACGCTAAACTGTGTGAGGAATCTCGCACTGGGCCAAGCTTCCGTATCTTGCTAGTCGGCCCTGCTGGCTGTCAAAATACCTGAGCAATCTGATTTGGATGCAGGCGTTGTTCAGGTATTTTGAGAGCCAGTGTGACCGACTAGCAAGATACTGAAGCTTGGCCCAGCGGGAGATTCCTCAATACACACAGTTTAGTGTAGATGGAGGAATCTGCACTTTTTCTATCTGATCAGCTTCAGAATTGGCTCTTTAGCACCACTGTATGTTCTAGTTAGACAAATATCTTAAAGGCAGCTATCACCAACCACAAGCTCCCTGCTTTTGAGGTATTTTGGTTTCTTTAAAATCTCTGCAAGCTCCTTTTGCAGCATCTCGGATGTACTTAAATTGTTTTGCAATTTACATTTTTTAGACTATTGTTTTCAGTGTTTTATATCATCTCAAATACCTTTCACCTCCGAGCAAATTCACTGCCAGGGAATACAAGAACGGGCACGTTTTCTTAAATGTGTCATCAAACGATTGGATGATGCATCATAAATGAAGATATCAACGTGTACCTGTTTGAGTGCACCTACTAAAGTTATAGGTGTATATTGTGCAATAAGGGTTCCCATTCTTTTATCTGGGAGAGTACCTGCAGCAGGGACCTATAGTAAAAATCGATTCACATTCTATAGACTTAGTACTGCAGAGAGTTTTTGTGGGTAAAGCTAATGTGCTTACATTTTGTAGACAATAAGAATTGATTGTCGCTTCTACATGTGTAACATGGTGTGGATTCTTCTGTGATTTAGGGTGAACGGCAGCGATGATCTGGTGATGTCAGAGAATGAAGTGGGGCAGGTTGCTGTAAATATCGAAAAAGAGATGTTCAGCCTTTTCAAAGACACGGACAGTGGGTACAAGAGCAAGTATAGGACCATCATGTTTAACCTGAAGGACCCAAAGAATCAGGTAAGATCTTGTTACAGGTTAATAACGCCCACAACTCCTTCTGCTTTTAGATGGAAAGTGACCAGAGAACATGTAGCATAAAATCCCACTTCATCCATAAAGATCTCCGGGCACTTTTCTCCCCTTTATGCCAGGGGTGCTCTTTGAGAGTAGATTTAATGTCCGTAGGGGCAACACAGTTCATGAAGGGAGGGGATTGTCAGGGGAACATCATAGTTGGGCTGCATATGTACACTTAGCCGCCCTTTTAAAACATTTTGTTTTGCCCCCCTAGTAACCAGTTTTCTACTAACGTCAGGATTCCTAGAAAGGCATTGAATTTGATAGTTGGCACTTCCTGTTTCAGACACTTTAATCATTCAGAAGTACACTTGTAGCATTCATTTTAGTCTCTACTAATGTTTAAACGCGTTAATCACCTTGCTATTGAAAAATGGACGGTCACTGGGTTACATGGTAAACGTTGTCTCACTGTGGTGGTGTCTAGGGTCTGTTCCAACGAGTTCTTCGCGGAGAAATGTCACTGGCAAAATTGGTGCGCCTGAAACCGGAAGTCCTCGCGTCAAAGAAACTTTCTTCCTGGAAAGAGACGGAGTCAAAAACGGTACGTTTGAGTGAATCTGGTGAAGTGTTTTTGTGACATTCATGGGAACGTAATCGGATTTAATGTAGCCGGTCTTTATAAAATGGCATTCAGTCAAATACATTTTCCAAATTCTAATAATTTATCGCTATGCCACACCCTTAAAGTACTGTATAAAACGCACATCTGAAGTCCTGCACCAATAGGCTTTAGTAGGGCCATATGAATAGCAACTTTATTGTGCAATAGTCCATAGATGCTGTTTTAACCTTCCTGCAGTCAGGTCACATCCCATATTCTGAATGGATGCGAAGGACTACTGAATAAACCTTGTGGTAAAGAACCTGAAGTATAGCCATTTCCCTGACCACGCATGGACATTGCAGCAATACTCTGATATTGGTGCAAATAAACCGATTGTAGACATGCAAGCCTCTCTTGGACTGCAGAGAAAACGCAGTCAAATGATCCCTATGTATATTTTTATATAGTTGGTAACAAGCACTCTGATTATTAATTTGACTGGAAACGGTCCGAGGGCAAAATTGGGCATCTCTGCTGTCTATGCTTCCCTTGGAAGAAGTTATTATTAGAGCACTTAAAGGGCCATGTCACACAATTGATACCGTCACTGGCAACAACTCGCCAGCAAATGGATTGATCAGAGACCACTCTCCTTATCTTATTACAGCCATTCTCAACCAGGATTCCATGGAACTCTATGGTTCCTTCAGAGGTGGGTAAGGGTACTTTGGCTGATTGACCTCCCATCTAATGGTCCCTGCATAGTTTCTGGACCCACACTGCTTTGCAAATCCATCAGCATGGCCTAATTGTATTTGTATGTGTTTATAAGGGGGGCAGACTAACCACCACTGTACAGGTTGCATTTTTTCCTGCAGATCACCAGTGTAATTGGTATTTTTCCCCATTTGCCACCAATGAATTGTTTTTGGTAAGGGTTCCCAGAGACCTGAATATTTTTAGGGCTTCCTCTGGTAAAAGGGTTGAGAGAGGCTGGTCTATGATGTCCCTTGCAGCAACAGAGGGACATCATAGAGAACAGGTTCAGCCAGCAAGGGAGCACAGTGTCAGTAGCACCCCCAGGGTGATCAAGCCCTTAAGGCACATATTTACAGTGCAGTAAATGAGAACACTGTTTCTGATAGAGTACTGGTTAGGCAAGTTGAATACATATTCCATATGTTGGTAAATGAGCTGTGTATTTTTTTTTCCTTGACTCCAATAGACAGCGTTTCTGAAAAGCAAGTCTCGTGTGGAACATAAAACCCCCTCAAGACATTTCTTAGTAGATATGGAGGAATCCCCTCCCATGTCTGATACTGACACGGTGGGTTTTGGATCTTTTGTAGCATAGCTTGTAGAATTGTGCGGGACCACATTTGCGCAGGCCAACAGTCCCGGACTCCTCCATATTGCAGGCCCTCCCTGAAATACACAGCAGCTGGGGTTTTCATTTTGGTTGTAGAATTCTTGTACCCCATTTTGACAATCAACGGGGGCCTGTTTTTGGTTTTTTTTTTATCTGGGAATGTTGGCCGTTATGTTAATGTGACCCCGCTTTCAAGGTGCTTATGCTGCCGAGTTAATTAGTCACGTTCTTTTTCGGCTCTCACCGACTGTTTTGCGCACTCTTAAACTTCTTTGGAAACACTTTTCCTGCAACATTGCTTTCATGGTAAAATGTCACGTGGGCTTTATTTAACACAGTAGAAAAGCAGTAAGGTTTATTTCCTGCTGAAAAGCATTCGTTGTTCATGTGGCCTGTTTTTGTTGTTTTTTTCCCCCTTTTTTCTAAAATTTTGTTTAGGAGCAGCAAGAAGCGGCTCGTGTTCCTCCGGAGAAAAGCAGCTCGGCCATCCCTGACATATTCAGCAGTATGTTGGACGACACAACAAGCCAGCATCGCGCCCATCTCTTTGATCTCAAGTGCAAAATTTGTACAGGTACAAAGCAAATGTCACAATTATAGTGGAGCTCCGGGCTAAATGCATGGTTCGAATTCTGCGTAATGGTTACACATGACATGCATGTCCTCATTTTAAATGACAACCCAACACAAAGAGGCAACCTACCTGCGTTGTAGTGTGTTGTGTTACAAAAAAAGGGTCATGCACAATTCTTACCACATTGCTCGTTAAGTCTAGGGGTAGAGGAATAGGGTGCAATACCTAATTATTCCCTACTGCGCTTCCCTGATGCTCCTGATTTTGAGTGGCCCTTCATCGTCATTACATACAGTGCACGTTTATTAGTTCTGCATTGATGTCGGCAACCACAGGTCAGGAGCACCATAGAGCATAGGCTTCAGGGGATCAATCGCACAAAAAGCAGGAGCCTGCCAGGGCGAGGAGTAAGGTAAGCATTGCAGTGTATTCTACACTTAGTGGGGCTCCCCTGCAAGGTTTTTATTTGTCTATTGCCCAGAGTGGGGCTTTAATGCAATGCACAATAATGTGCAACAAAATGCTTTTTAACACACTAAGGAAGTAAATGGACCCTTACTGTTTGACCTACCAAACGATTTGTAGTTTTGTTTCACCCGGATTGCGATTTACACATCTGACACACTGCCCAGGACAGTATGTAATGTGTACCGTGAAAGAGCTGTGTAGATCACAAGACAGGAAATTATGTGAAATCTCTCTCGGTGGAGACATGAACTGCTGCAAAACACTTTTTTAAGGGTAACAGAAGGGTTAGAACAGGTTATCACACTGTCTGTGTCTTCATGTCTCGCTGTCTTACTGTGTACCTGAGGTAAGGCCATCCATGGACGGCTATAGAAACTCAACAGACAAATAAATACTTTTGGCTGGATTTGGATTTTAAGGATGGTAAGCTGCTGAATGGTTGCTTCAGGTTACCACACACAAGCTGTCCATGCATATTACAATCTAAATGTATGATCTCCTTGATATTTACATACACTCTGTATTGTGAGGACTACATAAACAGACCATTCAGGCTAGGTTCACACCGAGGTGACTCCTGACCGTGTGGCAGTCCGCGTGGTTTTGTGCACGATTACCGCGCGGTCAGGAGTCACCAAGGTGTGAACCGATCGCGCTGTGGGTGCCATTATTTTCTAATGGCACCCAAGTCGTGCGGGGCGGATCTGGTAGTTTCCTACCACGATTCAGCCTGTGCAAGTGAACACGATCGCAGCTAAAAACAAAAATGTAGCGCATGACGTGTCGCAAAAAAAGGTACTTGTACCTTCTTTTTAGCGATTACACTAGCACACAATCGCGCGTGTGTCGTGTAGGTGTGAACCTGGCCTCAATTTGTACCCTGGGAAACTGGTCTTTGTAGTTTGTTTATGTAGCAGAGTCTGTGCTGTCAGATTCTCTTTTTGAAACCGGTATTGGGGCAAATAGAAAAAGCATCAGCCACCCAAAAATTTTATTTGCTGTTTATTGTATTGGAAGGCCCACCCACTTCTACGTCTTTAAAATGTGCCGTAATTCCTGACTTGCTTACTGCGGTCTTTCTGCTTTATTTAGCATGACTTTACTTGCTGTAGGATAATCATTCACCTTCGATATTAAGACTGTGGGTGGTTCTAGGAATGGCATGTAAGTGTGTCTACAATCCCATAGCTGTATACTTGCAGTGTGAAACAAAGGCATTGCTTCCTCTGACTTCTGGTCTCAGGGGATTTGATGATACCACTGGGCTGCTTATGTTGTCCTTGTTGGAGGCTCCGACACGAGACAGCAAAGTCCTGCGCACATTGTAGAAAGTCCTGCCAAGTCAATAATGGGGAAAGATCAGCTGCAGCAAGACCACAGGCAATTCTGGTGACTAGTCCTTTTGTACTGTCTGTCTTTTGTGGGCACAGCTTCCAGAGTTCAGTTACTTCTTAGGCAGACCTGTTGCCCTGTGATCCCAAGACTGTGGTTTATTTTAAGCTGAATCTCTTTGTTTCCCAACAGGTCAGTTATCTGCCGATGACGAACCCCCAAATAAACGTCAGAAAACCACTTCTCCATCTGTGAAGAAGGTAGAGCCTAAAATAAAACCAGAGGATGATGAGCCTCCCCCACCTCCAGAAGAGGAGTCGGACACGCCAATGGAGACCAATGAGCTCAAAGACAGCGTCCCCAATGTGGTCCCCGAGCCAGTTCCATTGCCCAGTGCTTCCCCCACACACCCCGTGTCCCCTTTTGTTAGTCAAGCTCCCCCACTCCCTGTCCCAATCCCTGTCACCACAGTCATCGGTTCCGGCAGGGACCCCAGAAGAGCGATTAGTCGACCGCCTCCACCAGCAGCTGCCACCCCTCCAGACAGCAGTCCGCGAGTCGCCCGGGATAATGAAGAAGCTTCAGCGCCATTGCCGCCTCCACCGCCGCCTCCTCCTCCTCCAATCTTCTCTGCTCCAAAATCCATCCTGATGAAACCAACAACCTCAGATATCCGCTATCTGACATCATCGTCATCAAACGTCAAGTGCGTAGTCCCTGCATTAATGTGGAACGAGTACAAAGCCCAGTGCTTGTTACAAATTGAAAATATTCTAGATGCCGTTAGCACGCTCAGACACAAATTACAGAATGCACAACAGCGAACTGTTCAGAACCACGTATATCAAATACATACATCAGTAGGCTTATAAAAAAAATGGCAGTGCAAAGAGCTGGCACAATGTACAGAGTGCAGTAGCCTATAGCTGTAACCGGTTTAAGCACTATGACAGATTATTTCTGATTGGGGGGGGTGCTACACTTTGCATTGTGCTTTACCTTTTATAAATGCACATATGTCGCTGAAGCGTGCGAAGAAGACCGCCGGGAACTAGACCGCGTGAGGTGCCAGACCTTTCCTTTTATACTACCATTACCCCTTTGACCGCACTCTGAGACCTGAGCCATACATAGAGTAGACAGTGGGACAGTGCACAGCCATGGAGGGTGAGCATCTACAGCTGTCAGTGTGTCTGTATTTGCACACCAGAAGACCTGTCACCTTATGGTGCCTATTCTTGGCGGTTGGCTTATCTTTTTACTCCACTATGGGTGCATTTTAAGATGACCATGACTAATTTCTGTGCAAAAAAACAACACTTTTTAATGATGTCTCCAAGCCCCTCGCAGCCATCTACATGAGCAGGAGATGACATGCTATGCTGAAGCAAAGGACACAATACCCATTTTACTGACTATCCTAAACCTTTATCGGAGCAGTGGGGTGGGTAGATCTTTTGGATCATCTTATTTATCACATACATACATATGTACACATTACCACACAGAATAGCAAACAACAACCAAAGGGGAGGGCTATTTTACTTTTGTTTTAGAACATCATTTCATATACATATTTTGGTTCTCTTGCCACTTGAGATATCTACCTATCCCTAAAGCACTGTGATCTGCTAAAAGCAAATCATTTTTGCCATAAGCCCTTTGTCAGCCTGAGCAGACTGGTGCCATGGAAAGAAGAGAATGGCAAAGCCCAATCATAGCACAAATCAGAGCTTCCATGTGTAATTGTCGAATATGGCTGCTCCCTTGTACATATAGATTGCAAACTCGATCTAGAAATCCTTTTTTTTTATAAAGCAATACTTGTTAACATTATGCACAGTGGCACCATTAGATTCACTTGGCTCTTAAAAAAGGAATAACATTAGTGCAAGTGTACACTGGCATCTGAGTTTTGCCTCGTTCGTGTGTCCATCTGCACGAACTCTTAAAGACAACACAATTACTGTGATTTGCAGAAAACATGCGTCACGCTGGTAGAAACATCACATAGATAAAATAATCCTGCAGGATGCACTGTATCTGTGGAGTGGTAGTACATATATAGAGGAATAATAGGCGATTTATTGTCCCTCGCTGTCATCGGTTGTTGACGGACAAGTACTGTGGAAAGGCCCCCTTCGGATATACAGGCTGATCTGGCTGCTTGACATCTGATCCAGTTCTAATGAGCAATATGGCAGGTTGCACAGACGGCACCTCTTAGTGTGATAGACCTGTAATACTTTTGAGCCTTAAAGTGACATTAAACCCTCAGGTTTTTTAACATAAACCAATACTGTAATGTGCGCCTTACTGTAATCCATGGTTGTTTCCCTTCTCTTTGCTGCTCTTCCTTTTAAATCCTCATGTCTTCTCATGCTGGGGCAGAACTTCCCTTTTCAGCTGAATGCCTCTCTGTAGTGCTGGCTCAGGTTGTGAACCTTCACACAGACACCATATATCCATTCCTGAGACAAGGCAGTCTACTGCAAAACAGAAGTTCTGCCCAGCATGAGAAGAGATACAGATTTAAAAGGAAGAGCAGCAAAGAGAAGGGAAACAACCATGGATTACAGTAAGGCGCACATTACAGTATTGGTTTATGTTAAAAAATCTGAGGGTTTAATGTCACTTTAATAAGGCAAACTCAATCAACAGAGGTGGGTAGGGGGTCATTTGTTTAATGCATCAGCTGGTTGCTTGAAACAGTCGCCCCACTATTATTGCTATTAATGGCTCCAGATGACATTTTATATAGAAATGAAGGCAGCTAATCCAAATTTACTATGGACTCTGATGCAAAATAGTACATTTAGCACTGGTCAAGTGCCTTTTGGCCATTATTTGCTTTACTGATTATGTAGGGGGCACCGCCAAGGCAAGCACTATAGTAATGGGGCACGCCATGACCAATCTTAGGAGCTGGAAGGGAAAACAATGGCTGTTTTCAGCCTGGCATCTGTGATGGTGGATGTGTGGCTTGTTCTATGCATAGGATACTCTGTGCAACCCCTGTGAACAAGTCCTTGTACCTGATGCCAATCTACACTGTCACTCCAGGACAAAACTGTACTCATAGGGAATGTAATCGGTTTTACTCCTTCCCACTGCACAAAGTATAAGGGGTTGTACATTTTAGTAGGGAAAAAAACAACACCTTAATTTTGGTTCTACAGTTAAAGGGCAAAGCAAAAAAAACATTTGGCACATCTCTTCAACATGGACACGTTTCCTCATTTTCTATAGTTTTAAAAGTGCTGCAAATACAGAAAAATCTGTTTTGAACTGCCAGAAATGCAGTGAGCTCTCAAATTCCTGTTAACACCGTGCCTTTGCTGCACTGATGCCTAAGTAGTGTTGTCTGCCCTGCCCAATTTTCTTCTGCTAGGCTACAGAATATTTCCCCCTATGTTATACATAGTGGGAGCCATTTTCAAAGTCCTCAACACTGCTTTGGATTTCTGTGCTGAAGAGCCAGTGTTGTCAGCTTGCTACAATAAGCATCTCACTTGTTTTCTGGAAGCTTAGGAGGTATTGCAGGGTTTTTAAAGGGATACAACATAGAGAAATGTACCGAATGTTTTGATTCTGTCCAGACAAACGTTTAGGTGCTTTTACTATGAAGCAAGTCAGTTCTTTTACATACAACTGCACAGTAATTGTTTGACGTCGTCATTGTCCGTTTTGTATCCTCTGAATCATGTAGATTGATTGCAACTGCTTAGTCCTTTTACACTTTAATATTCTACTTTTTACAGCTCGCCTGATATGAGATCACCCCAAGATGGAGACACCTCGCTCTTCCTCTCCCGTGTCAACCCTATCTGGAAGGGATTTATAAACATGCAATCTGTAGCCAAGTTTGTCACTAAAGCATACCCAGTGTCTGGTTCTATCGAGTACTTGAATGAGGTTTGTCTTGGTGCATTTCTTTCTATTTTACTGTCATGATTATTTAACATACCTTCAGATTATTTAGAGAGGAAAAAAAGACTGTAACTGATTACAAAGGTGAAGACCAGTTAGAAGCGCAAAGCAGGCCTTCCTATCACTTCCACCCATTGCATTTGTGAACTTCAACCAACTTTGAACACGATGTTACACTTTGCATTGCTAGTGACGTTGCTGAATTCATTGTTCTTTTTAAGGGCAGTTACTAAGCATTGTTGAATTGCATATCTCTTAACCAGAAACTGTGGTGTGCGTTTAGGAATCCAAACTATGAGGATGATTTCTGAGAACTAGATAAGTTGTCCTTGCTAAGCTGTGAGATGCATAACATTCATTTTCTAGCTTGCTTGAATTTGTTGGCAACGCCCATTCTGCCACACCCCAGCTCGGTTGTACCGAACATAAGTGTATGTAGACCCTGAATCACTGTTTGGTATCATGCCATGGATTTTTTTCAAGCAAATAATTTTTAAGTATTACCTGGAGATCCTGCCAGTAACAGCGCTTCATTTTGCAGCGCTATGCCGTTGTCTCGCGATTTGTCCGCACTGTTGTTGGCCTGCCATGTGCGGCGCTTCAATTGGACCACTTATCAGGTCTGCCTCCTGCGGACCTGATGACGCTGAGGAACATGCAAAGTCTCTTAGTGTCGTGATGAGGCCTTCTCCCCAGCCCTTAGGTATAGAAACGGTACCTGAGCAGTCATATGACCACAGAATAAAAAAAGTTTTAATTACACTTTTAGCCAAAAATTAACCATTAAGTGTAAGTGTGTTGCTGCAATGCTTGATTTTAAAAGCCAGGATTGACTTATACCTTGTTACGTAGAAGGTCCAGTGCGTCACCTCCTCCTGAGCAGGCCATTTAGCAGATTGTAGTACCTGATTTTTCTGAGGCAGTAGTGTATAATACTGGAATGTCATCATCTTATTTAGGACTTGCCAGACACCATCCACATTGGAGGAAGAATCTCGCCAAAGACTGTTTGGGATTATGTGGGCAAGCTCAAATCATCTTTGTCAAAGGTAGGTGGACTGTGGAACCCTCTATCCTGAAACTATAAAAGCCAAAGCATAATCCTCACATGAATACCCGCTGTATACAGAGGCATTTTTTCATCATGTTTTAGACACGACTGTTGTCATGTTTCCACCTATAGGAGCTGTCCTTGATCCGCTTCCACCCAGCCACAGAAGAGGAGGAAGTGGCCTACATCTCCCTCTACTCATATTTCAGCAGTCGTGGCCGTTTCGGGGTGGTGGCCAATAACAACAGGCACGTCAAGGACCTCTATCTCATCCCCCTGAGTGCCAAGGAGCCAATTCCATCTAAACTGTTACCCTTTGAGGGACCAGGTAAGGAGCTTGTTCTTTAGATTGAAAATAAAATTAGCCAAACTGTCAAAATAGTCCGCAGCAGGTAAGTATTTTCCCGTACCTTGGCAGAATTCATATTCAATGGGATATTCTTATTTCTTGTGATTTAAAAAAAAAATAAAACATTTCTACAAAAAAAAAAAAAAGTTTGTCTGTTTGGTATCGGTATTTCTCTGATATACTTTTTACATTGCTTGGCTGTGGTACGTGGAAAGTCCAGCGGGTGCCCTTGTAATCAGCGTGTCGGATAATTGAAGACTTTGAGGAACAGCCCTTCGAAAGGAAAGCAATCTGAAAACGTCGTTCCGCTTCTTCATTTGGACTGTAGCTTTCAGTTCTGCATCTACATTCAGCATTGCTACAGTTGAAGGAACCTAAGCCACTAAAATTGAAGCTGTTATGTATAAACCAAAAGTGCCACCCAAAGATAGAAGCTGTTGGTTGCACAAGATGGTACCGTTGAGGACAAGAACTTATTTGGCCTGAAGTGTCGGAAAGGAAAGGTTGTGTTCCCAAAGCAGTGTTTTAGATTCCTAATCTGAGATATTGCTATGGGCAATATAGACTCGTTCAAATGTTAAGAAAGTGTTATCTTAGTACATTGTGTGGTACATCTAGTGAACCTTCTTATTTACTTCAGTTCCGAATGGGAGAAAGCACACAACTTGAGGTAGGCTCACACACCAAAATGGAGACTGTGGAGAGCATCACATAAAGGAGAATCAACATTAGAATACTCACAGTACAGGACCAAGCCTTTTATACTAGTTGAGGACAAATAAAGCTGAATGCTGGCTTAAATGTATTTTAGACACTTCTAGTGTAGCTGTCTGAAACATCTTTATATTAGGTTCTCGCATACCTGGCTGAGAGTGAGAGATCATTCAAGTAAATCAGGCTCTGTTACATTGTACAGTGCTGCCCATATAATATGTTTCCAGGCACTAGGAGCAGCAGCGGGAGGTGTTTAGGAAGGTTACATGAGGAGGAAGAGACGGGGCCACCTCAGCAATTCCATTAGCTGGAAATCAGCATACAAACCACAATGGAGCACCATCATCCATTGTGTTATTGGAATTTCTAAGCCATTAGGTCTTCAGCAAACCTTAAAGGACTATAAGTCTACAGATAATACACTGAAAAGAGACCTGCTCTAGGGCTTTCATTGCAAATTGTCTGAAACCGTCTGCTTTTCATCCACGGGCTTCAACACTGAGCCAAAGACCCAGAAAAGGCACGTGGAAAATGAAGTCTCCATACTTCGGGATGGTAGTTCTGGAAGTTGTAAGGCTGGAAGTTTAGCCTGACGGCAAGGAAACTAGTTTTTTCACAAATGAGGTCAGCAATGGCAGAAGAAAAAAAGGCTGAGCAGTCATCACATAGCCTTCCTACAGGTATACTGTCCTTATTTAATGTCTGTTTAGTTCCTAACCCTGGCCCTCTTTGTAGTACCCCATTAACCATCCATAGCAGATTATACACCCCCTACGTGTCCTCTGATTTCTGTGACTGCTGTCTTCTGCATATGCTGAACTCCAGGCCTCTGCTGATGGTAGCCCCCAATGGAATACATGCAAGGTTTAAACCTGTCATTGAGATGAACACAACAATACACAATACCTCAACCTTCATGCCAAGTCTAGTTTGTCCCCTTAGTGGTTCTTTAGGCCAGTGTTCTCTACAGTAGTTTGAGGAACAATAAACAGCAAAATACTCATTTCTATATTAAAACTAAATTATATTTTAGTACACTTATCTGCACAGGGATACAAAAGCATTGCTGGAATCCAGGCTTCCACGCAACAGCAGCCATTTTTTTTTTGGTCAATGTTTGGTTCCAATGTTCTATTAACTCTACTTTTGCTATGTTCATTGTTGAAGTCACAACATATCCCGTCACAATGGACATCTGCTTTCCATATTTTTGCAAGTGCTAATACATCAACATTGGCAGTGCTACGGTTTTCCTTCTCAACGTTCACACAGGAGCGGACTTGCCATTGCCTTTGGCAACCAGATTTTGCTTCACTTCACTGTTTTGTGCAAAAACCCTACAGCTTCTAGCCCACACAAGCAAAAAGGCAACTAGAACCTGGTTCTTAGTTCCAACTATGTTACCCTTGAAGTTGTAAAGGAAACTTATTTTGAAGGAAATCTAGAGGCTGCTGTTGCAAACTCTTTGAAAACGCCAGTTGCATGGCTGTATCTGTGTATGAGTCGCTAATCCGGGAGGAAGTATGCAGCTAACACAATCAGGGTGACGTCAAAAAGATATGACGACATTGTATCCGCATGACAGTCGGGTAGCTAGCTTTTTTTTTTAGAAGTTGGTCAGTAATGGCAACCACCATGTTTCTCCGTACGTGTTTCCTTTACTAGACAGCCCCTGCTTTTGTGTAGTATACTTGCACATTAATAATTCAAAGTTTGTATTAATGTAGCTGACTTGGTCTGTAGAGCGGGATGATAAAGCGATGATTTGAATACAGAATTTGTCTTCAACATGCATCACTCTCACATTTCTGTAACTTTGTCTTTTGCTCTTCTAGGCCTCGAGTCCACACGTCCAAACATGATTCTGGGACTGGTTATCTGCCAGAGAAATAAACGCCCTGGTCCTATGGAGCAAGAGAAGGCTGAAGAGAAACGTCCGAAGGCTCAAAGCCAGGAAGAGTTGGAAAGCTTGAATTTAGGCAAACCAACAACCAATGCTGTTCAGCCGGAAAAGAAGAAATATCAACCACTATTTACTGACATAATGAGAAGTACAACACCTCCGGGATCACCACCACAAATCTCTGAGCCAGCGTCAAACGTTGTTCATCCCATCCTTCCACTGCCATCTGCTAAAACAGAGAATGTCGTTTCCATAACCAACCTATTAAAGGGTTCCTCTCCACCTGCTGAACCTTCTGCATCATCTGCAAAAACCGCCACTCCGCTGGAGCACATTTTGAAGACGCTCTTTGGAAAAGCGCCGGAAACCAAAAATGAAAATGCGAGTACTCCTCCCCCTGTTGCTGCTGCTGTTACTTCTACAATGACTACTTCAGTAGAGACTGAAACAGAGACGAGCTTTGTTGACCCCATCGTCCAGCAGTTTGGACAGATGTCTAAGGATAAAGCTTTTGAGGAGGAAGATGATAGACCCTATGACCCAGAAGAAGAGTATAATCCAGAAAAAACTTTTGTCCCTACGGTGGTTTTTGACAGTAACGATAGACCCTATGAACCCGAACAGCCATGTGAAAATCTATATGATGACGAGGCCTATGATCCAGAGGATGAAACCATACTGGAAGAAGCCAAGGTCCCATTTGAAGATTTGCCCAACAGGATGGCTGCGCAAAATAAACTCAAAACATTGGAGGTATCTACAGAATTTCTAACAGAGGCTTCTGATTCCCCATCGCTTCAAGAACAGCAAAAGATGCTGGAGGAGCTGAACAAACAAATAGAAGAGCAAAAGCGACAACTTGAAGAACAAGAGGAAGCTCTTAGGCAACAAAGGGCAGCAGTAGGCGTCTCCATGGCTCATTTCTCTGTATCGGATGCTTTGATGTCGCCTCCACCAAAATCTTCCACAATGAGCGCCAATCTGTTTTCAAAAGAACCAAATACAATAAAAGCCCTAATGGATATGGATGTTCAGGTATTCAACCGCGATCCTAGACAAGCAAGAGACCCGCGACAAGCCGCCACAAAAAGAACTCTGCCGGACACAGAAACTGTTCCTATTACACAGCCACAAAGTGAGACACCACCTATTCCTATGGAAGCCAAGAGGGCCACCCCTGTCACAACATCATCTATTAGTATCCAAAATGAGACCATGCCTCTTGTTAGCAATCCAATACAAAATGAAAGTATCTTTCAAAAGGCTGAACTTGACCCTGAGCAGGAAGAAGGAGCTTGGTTTAATCCACGCAGCACAGGAGCTACACCTGAAACTTTGGTAGGAACCACTAAGCCCCCACGTAAAGTTCTGCTGCCAACGCCTGTGTCGAATCCACCGCTAATTAGGCCATTGGCACAGTTTTCTCCACAAGAACCATCTTGGTCTCCTGAGGCCAATGCAGAAGCTCACTTTCCTAATCAGACAATGTCTTCACTAGAAAACCGGACTGATGGTTATGAACCTAAAAATGAAGTCATGTTTTCCCATAATAAAGAGCATATTCACGGTCAGACAAGTCATTTTGTAGACCATATGAATGCAGTTAATCAACCTGACAATAATAGGTCTGATCTGCAGTTTCCAATGAACCCCACAGTAGGCCCGCCTCAATCACAGCGTGAAATTCTACCTGTATATAGTGAACAAAGAATACCGCTTATATCTAATCATACAGGTTTAAGGGATTCCCCTATATATCCTGAAGAAAACCTTACACCTAATAGGGGTATGCCACATGAACAAAACATGCAGCACACAGGGCCTGGACCTTTGCCTGGACAATATGGACCGCTGGTTCATCATCCATATGGAGACAGAGGTCCTCTCCCTCCTCATTTTGCTAAAGCAGGACTGTCGCCCCCTAGGTTCGATAGACAAAATAGTCCCCAAATGGAATTCCAAGAACCTCATTTTGGTGGGCCAAACGATGGTCCGCCTAGATTTCACGATCAACCTAGGTTTGATGGTCCTCCACAGCTTGACAGTCTGCCTAGATTTGAAGGACCAAGAGGACCCATGCCACCTTCATTTCCAGATAGTCGAGGGCAATTTAATTTTGAAGGTCAGCGCAGACAACAACCCTCACAGTTTACACCTTCCAGAGGTGCTCCAATCCATCCTTCCTTTGGCGGACCTAGAGAACCGCCAGCTAGCCACTTTGGTGGTCCTAGAGGACCATATCCTGATCAATTTGAAGCTTCACGAGGCCCAAGCTCCATTCCTTTCGCTGGGCAAAGGGGTCCAGCCACTCTTCAATTTGACGATTCAAATAGAAATTTGCCAGCAAATCAGAGTCAAAGAGGCCCTACTGCTCTCTCATTTAGTGGACAACAGGGAGTTGTACCTTCCAGGCTTTCTGACCCTTCTTCGCTCATGAAACCTCAGCCACGGCCTTTGCTTGAACTCCAAACTGCTCCTCCTTCACATAGAAGTGAAGCTTGGGACAAACCTGGACCTTCAGAAATACTTCCAAATTATGCAGACCATCGGCAAGAGCCAGAACCACTCCGGGATTCGAATATTTTCAGACAAAAGGACCACAGAGGCTTTGAAGGTAGACCTCGAATCTTAGAAGGACATAATGATCCAGAATCATCTGACCTTGTACCAAACCAAGGCTTCGAGGAAAAACGAAGAGAAAGAGAACATGATGTGCAGTGGGACAGAGACAGGGGAAGAAATTGGAATAGAGACAGGAATCGAGACTTTGACAGACAAAGGGGTAAAGAACGAGAGGGAGACAAAGACACTGAGAAGAGGGAATGGGACAGAAACCGAGATAGAGAAAGGGAACGAATCAGGGAACGAGATAGTTATAGAAACCGGGACAGAGAGAGAGACCGGGATAGAGAGCGAGACCGTGATAGGGAACGGGATCGAGAAAAAGAAGGGGACAAAGACAACAAAGATCGCGAGAGAGACCGGGATCGCGACAGAGAGAGGGACAGAGACAGGTTTAGAGAGCGCGATCGAGACTTCTATAAACGTAGAGACCGATCCAGAAGCAGAGACAGAGATAGGATCAGAGAAAGATCCCGAAGCAGAGACAGGGAACGGGACAGAGAACGTGACCGAGCTAGAGATCGGGACAGAGAGAGGGTGCGAGGAAAAGAGCGCACGTTACGTAGCAGAAGCCAGGAGAGGGACTTCAAATCTGATCGATTAAGAGATGCGCCGAAGAGCACGTCCCAGGAGCCTCCACCTTCCAGTCACACGTAAAGGAATGGAGTACACAGACTTGTAATAATTTATAATAGTGTACATATCTGTAAATATTAAATTTTTATTTTATGTCTATCCCTTTAAAGGACAAAATTTGTGTTTCCTCTGTGTTTAA